AGAATAGAATAGAAAAAATATGGAATGGAATGGAATAAGAATAGAATAGGATTAGAATAGAATAGAATAGAATAGAATAGAATAGAATAGATTAGAATAGAATAGAAAATATGGAATGGAATGGAATGGAATGGAATGGAATAGAATAGAATAGAATAGAATAGAATAGAATAGAATAGAATAGAATAGAATAGAATAGAATAGAATAGAATAGAATAGAAAAAATATGGAATGGAATGGAATAAGAATAGAATAGGAATAGGAATAGGAATAGAAATAGAAATAGAAATAGAAATAGAATAGAATAGAATAGAATAGAATAGAATAGAATAGAATAGAATAGAATAGAATAGAATAGAATAGAATAGAATAGAATAGACTTGTCAAAATGGGTGTTCCATCACCGGAGGTTTTTAAGAAGAGACTGGACAGCCATTTGCCCAGAATGATATAGAACTCCTGGTTGAGCAGGGGGTTGGACTAGAAGACCTCTAAGGTCCTTCCACCTCTATTATTCTAAGTTCTATGTTCAGTTTCTCTGGGAAGGAAGACAGGGAAATGTCTTTTAGAGAGCTGTTGAGGCCACTTGGAGAAGGCTCCACACCCATTTGCACCACTCAGGTGATCCTGAGGACACAGATAAACCTCCCACTCTCTAAAAGGAGGCAAATGACCAGCTGTCTGCAAGGAGTATAAGTCTTTCCATTCCCCACCATCTAATCAGAGCTGAAGAAGCTTCTCGAATGAGAAGCGAAACATCTTCAAAGAAAAAAGAAGAAAGTCCAGTTGCCTCGTGAAAAATCACCTTGGGATTACTCTTGATAGTTCGGTTAGCAATGTAAAATAAATACTCATCTGAGCTGCAAGCCAGTTATAGGTCTGGACCAGGGGTCTTCAAACTTGGCTCTTTGATGACTCGTGGACTTCAACTCCCAGAATTCCTCAGCCAGCCATGCTGAGGGGAAAGGGAGAGGTTTCTAAGCTGAGCCATGCTGGCTCAGGAATTCTGGGAGTTGAAGTCCACGTCATAAAAGGGCCAAGGTTGCCTACCCCTGGTCTAGTAGAAACCTTTAGAGCGGGGGTAGGCAACCTTGGGTCTTTTATGACCTGTGGACTTCAACTCCCAGAATTCCTGAGCCAGCATGGGGGAACTATGGCTTCTTCATGACTTGTGGACTTCAACTCCCAGAATTCCTGAGCCAGCATGGCTCAGCTTGGAAACCCCTCCCTTTCCCCTCAGCGTGGCTGGCTCAGGAATTCTGAGAGTTGAAGTCCACGAGTCATCAGAGAGCCAAGGTTCCCCACCCCTGCCCTATATCAGGGGTCCTCAACCTTGGCAACTTTAGGACTCATGGACTTCAACTCCCAGAATTCCTGAGCCAGCACGACTCAGCTTGGAAACCTCTCCCTTTCCCCTCAGCATGGCTGGCTGAGGAATTCTGGGAGTTGAAGTCCACGAGTCATCAAAGAGCCAAGGTTCCCCACCCCTGGTCTGGACGAAAGAGCAATTTTTATCGAGAGCGCTTGGCTTAAAAAAATTCTATGTAGAATCTGATGTTACTACCAAACATGTATTTTAACATGTATCCTTGATTTTTCAGGGTGAATATGAAGGTGATAGCAAGGAAATGAACGAAAGGAAGGTAAAATATTTGCGGCCTCACTTGGGTTGGTAGGAAAGTTGTAACTACAGACTGGGCGTTGCAAATAAGTCTATCGTTAAAAGACTTTTAGGCAAACAAAGCACCACCAAAGCTGACATTCTCCTGATCATTTACAGCTGGTTAATTATTTATTTATTTTTAATTTATTATTTATTTATATATCGCTTTAAGTGCAAGCACTCTCTAAGCGGTGTACACCAGTAAGCAATGTATATATATATTTACATTGCCCCCAACAATCTGGGTCCTCATTTTACCTACCCCGGAAGGATGGAAGGCTGAGTCAACCTTGAGCCGGTGAGATTTGAACCGCTGACCTGCTGAACACAGTCAGCTAAAGTGGCCTGCAGGACTGCACTCTAACTGCTGCGCCACCTCGGCTCTTAATCTTGATAGAGATTGCAGAAAAGGACGGTCCACTGTATTATTATTATATATGCAATGATAGGAAATCACGGTTGCCTCGTCTTTAACTCCTACGCATTGCGCTCTTCCCAGGAACCTAAGATGTTGTGATGTATTGTCATACTTTGTCTGCAGATCCAAGCAGTTATGACCTTCTGTAATGTAAAGATGGAATTTTGTCAGTTGCACAGTTTGTCTAAATGCTGCCCAAGATTTTGGCACCTCATAATCATTGGGACTACCATAGCTGGTTTATGCCATAATCTTTCAGCTTCAATTTTCAGATCTTCTCAAATAATTCTTTGGCTTCTAATCTACTATCCCTCACTAATCTACTCTCCACACTTTCTTCTGTTCATTTTCAACTACTTTTTCAACCCTATGTTCCAACCAATTTTTCCTTACTGGCACAGGATAATTTTTATAGATGCTGTAGTGAGCTTTGCGCATGAGCTGAGTATATGATCCAGTGTCTCTTCTGCTTCTTTTCCCAATCTGCTCTTTGAATCATTTGAGGATTTTTTTTTCAATTCTTGATCGCATTTGATCAAACAGCTGGCTCTTGAGCAACCAGAATCAAGCAATTGGTTTTTTTTAATTAATGTTCCAGTTGTAAGCCATTGCCAGGTTTTATCTTTACCCGTTTTTTCCCTCGATCTTTTTGTAGAAATTAAGTTTTGGCTGAAACTGTCTAGTTCGACGTGTGTCCAGTTAATAATTTCTAGCAGTGTGTCATATCACAACTACGGCCAAGTATTGATGGTGTTTCCAGCATTCAGTTTTGTCTTTAGCAATTTTCCCGCTCTTCAAATCCATGCTTTTGTTGTTGTTGTTGCTAGTTGCGAAGTCATATCCGACCCATCGCGACCCCATGAACAACGTTCCTCCAGGCCTTCCTGTCCTCTACCATCTTCTGGACTCCCTTTAAGCTCACGCCTCCTGCTTCAGTGACTCCATCCAGCCATCTCATTCTCTGTCGTCCCCTTCTTCTTTTGCCCTCCATCTTTCCCAGCATTAGGCTCTTCTCCAGTGAGTCCTTCCTTCTCATTAGGTGGCCAATGGACTTGAGTTTCAACTTCAGGATCTGGCCTTCTAAAGAGCAGTCGGGGTTGATCTCCTCCGGGACTGACCGGTTGGATCGCCTTGCAGTCCAGGGGACTTGCAGGAGTCTTCTCCAGCACCAGAGTTCAAAGGCCTCCATTCTTTGGCGCTCAGCCTTTCTTATGGTCCAACTTTCACAGCCATACCTTGCAACTGGGAAAACCATGGCCTGGACTATACGCACTTTTGTTGGCAGGGTGATGTCTCTGTTTTACTCATCATTATTTTGCTTGATGTCATCCAACTACAAAATGCCCAGATACTTGTTGATTTCATCTTGATGGCTCCCGATGGTTTGGCCATTTGGCATTTCAATTCCATCACTGTTCATGATTTTTACCCTGATTTATTGATACCATAGTATAGGACATTTCTCTAGCCAAAATTCTGTTGATATATCTGTACTAAAAACACACCACTTATCTGTAAAACTTCAGGCCATCTGTAAAAGGCAACTGTGAGGTTTTATTAGCTTTTTTTTTTTTTTTTGCTGTTTGATAACCAAGATTTGTTTTCTTCCAAAACACTGAAAGTGGGGTCATAGCAGCGACAAATAATAAGGGTGATAAATTTGTGTCACTCTGGAAGATGCTCCCCCGAATGCTGAAAAGTGCATATTTTTCATTTCCAGGCAATAATTCTGTTTTCCACTGCTTTGTTCTTTTTTTTCCATAAACATTGTAACGTTTTTACGAATACAGTTGTTTTTAAGCATTTGATGATCCAATTATATGGTAATGAATGGAATGCCTTTTTATAATCAATCCAGACCATACTGTATGTAAATTGCTTTTTTGGGGGGGGGGCTTTTGTGACGCTCCCAAACCATTTTATGAATCACAAATTGATGATTATACTTTTTATATCCTTTCTGTTCTACCAGAAGGAAATAATAATCTTCTAAATAATCACTCTCTGGATGTATTCCCTTCTAAGCTGGATTTTTGTAGCTGAAGGAAAGGAGAAGGTCTAGTACAGTGTTTCTCAACCTTGACAATTTTAAGGCATGTGGACTTCAACTCCCAGAATTCCACAGCCAGCAATGCTGGCTGTGGAATTCTGGGAGTTGAAGTCCACATGCCTTAAAATTGTCAAGGTTGAGAAACACTGGTCTAGTCTAATGAAGAGAAGGAGCAGGGGTGACTCTTGAGAGTCTGTCACAACCTATTTTTCAAAGCACTCGATGGCAGGACAAGAAGTTTTGGGTGGAAGATCGTTAAAGAGAGATCCCAATTGGGGCTGCTCCATCACTGGAGGTTTTTAAGAAATGGTATAGGCCCTCCTGCCTTGAGCAGGTGCTCAAGGTCCCTCCCAACCTTATTATTACATGTTCTACGAATAGTTACCCCCAAGAAGTGCTACTCTAAAAAGGCTACCAAAATCCAGATGTCCACAAGTAGGTTGTAGCAAAGAACACAGAGAAACTCTCATTGTGGTCTCAAGTTTTGTAGCTGAAAGAAAGGGGAAAGTGGTGTTTGCCACTAAGGGCACTGCCAGAAACTCACGGAAGAGTAAAATGGAGTCAAAGATAGAAGGGAAGTGTGTGTGTGTCTCTCTGTGTGTGGGGGGAAACAATATGCATCACTGCAACTGTCCCCCTGGATGATAAAATGCTAAAAAGAGTAGCTAATCAGAAGGACTAGCAACATATAAGTGGGGGTTGGTAGGATGGCGGAGGGGACATCTGTAAGTTGCCTGGAAAAATATTCCATTTGCAAGTTGGGCTGCTCTTCTTTTTATTCTCTGGCAAAGTGTTAAGTATCCAAAGGCTAAAAGTTATCCCTAACCCCCCCCCACCTCCTTGAAATGCTGCATGGATTTCTGACATGTGTTGCCCTTGCAGGTCTGTGAAGCTCCAACTGTAGACTTTCTGTGCATCAGATCATCTGTTTTCTATCCGAACCTGAATAGGTTCAATCTTTAATTTCCTGGACTGTCCAGATCAGATTTAAAGGGAAGAGAGAGAAGATTCCCCAAAGCTTTTTTTTTTTAATTTTAATTTTTTCTTTTTCTCTTTACAAAAAACAAAATGCAAAGTACATTTTTCTTTTTTCTTAACAATACTATGTCCTATATCTCTTACATTTATTTAGACTTATTTACATTACTTCTCATACTTTTTTATTCCTCAATTCTAACCAATTGTAATGCCTGTCCCATATCTCATAAAATCCTGTAGCTTCCTTGTCTTTTATTTCTAGAGTAAGTTTGTACATCTCAGCGCAGTCTAGTGTCTTGTAAATAATCATTACATTTGTTGGTATATTTTCCCTTTTCCAGCACTGCGCATATGCAATGCGTGCAGCAGTTATTATGTGTATAATGATGTCTTGAAGTTGTTTCTCCATCTTTGGATTGATTATGCCTAATAGGAATATTTCAGGTTTAAGTTCAATTTGTTCTTTTCTTATTTCCTGTATCCATCTCCTTATCTGCTCCCAATAAGTTTTTGCTTCCCCAAAGATTTTTCTATCAGCCTCCCCTTTTGCTGATGGCCCCCTTAAAATACAGAGGCAACTATTGTCCCCAGGCCTCTGCTTTCTTTCCAAGGTGGACAGCATTCATCTGGCTTCTATTACCCTGGAAAGGAAGGGCTGTTGATTAAGATTTATGGACCAGCTCATCGGGCAAAAGGTAACCCTGTGAAAGTTCTTCACGTTTCTCAAAAGACCCTGTGACAGAAGCAGGTTGGAGCATCCTCACAACTGCACATTATATGCAGTTCCTGTTCTCTCTACAGTGTTAATTTAGCTGCAAGGATATTTCCTGGAGCAAGATCACAATCCCATTGTTCATTTAAAGTATATGTCCTTGTAAAGAAAAAGGGGAAGCATCATAAACTAAAAAACTAATTCTGCACGTATGATCATGTTATACAGTTATAATTATTGAGAGCCAGGTTAAGTCACCAGGCTAGAAACCAGAAGATCTTGAGTTCCAGTCCCACCTAAGCCATGCTAGGTAATTGTGGGCCAAATACACCAGGAAAGAGTGATCTCTAGTCCCACCTTAGACATGAAAGCCAGCTAGGTGACTTTGGATTTTCCCATGTATTTTACCAGGAAACATAGAGAGGGCAGCCTAGAAAGGTCAGTGCCCTCCTAACCATAGCCCAGCACTCCAAATTTGTTGGTGATATCCATTTTGCTCTATCAGTTCATGGTGACCTAACCCTAACCCTAAGTGAAATTTTCCTCCAATGGGATTTCCCCATGTATTTTACCAGGAAACATAGATAGGGCAGCCCAAAAAAGTCAGTGCCCTCCTAACCATACCCAAGCACTCCGAGTTTGTTGGCGATGTCCATTTTGCTCTATGACTTCATGGTGACCTAACCCTAACCCTAAGTGGAATTTTCCTCCAATGGGATTTCCCCATGTATTTTACCAGGAAACATAGATAGGGCAGCCTACAAAAGTCAGTGCCCTCCTAACCATACCCAAGCACTCCGAGTTTGTTGGCAATGTCCATTTTGCTCTGTGAGTTCATGGTGACCTAACCCTAACCCTAAGTGGAATTTTCCTCCAATGGGATTTTCCCATGTATTTTACCAGGAAACAGAGAGAGGGCAGCCCAGTGAAACTAGTAGGGCAGCCTAGAAAGGTCAGGTCCTCCTAACCATACCAAGCACTCCGAGTTTGTTGGCGATGTCCATTTTGCTCTCCAAGTTCATGGTGACCTAACCCTAACCCTAAGTGGGATTTTCCTCCAATGGGATTTTCCCATGTATTTTACCAGGAAACATAGATAGGGCAGCCTAGAAAGGTCAGTGTCCTCCTAACCATACCCAAGCACTCTGAATTTATTGGCGATGTCCATTTTGCTCTACGAGTCCAAGGTGACCTAACCCTAACCCTAGGTGGAATTTTCCTCCAATGGGACTTTCTCATGTATTTGACCAGGAAACATAGATAGGACAGCCTAGAAAAGTCAGTGCCCTCCTAACCATATCCAAGCACTCCGAGTTTGTTGACAATGTCCATTTTGCTCTAGGAGTTCATGGTGACTTAACCCTAACCCTAAGTGGAATTTTCCTCCAATGGGATTTCCCCATGTATTTTACCAGGAAACATAGAGAGGGCCTAGAAAGTCAGTGCCCTCCTAACCTATACCCAAGCACTCCGATTTGTTGGCAATGTCCATTTTGCTGTATGATTTCATGGTGACCTAACCCTAACCCTAAGTGGGATTTTCCTCCAATGGGATTTTCCCATGTATTTTACCAGAAACTAGATAGGGCGCCTAGAAAGGTCAGTGCCCTCCTAACCATACCCAAGCACTCGAGTTTGTTGGCGATGTCCATTTTGCTCTATGAGTTCATGGTGACCTAACCCTAACCCTAAGTGGAATTTTCCTCCAATGGATTTCCCCATGTATTTTACCAGGAAACATAGAGAGGGCAGCCTAGAAAGGTCAGTGCCTTCCTAACCATACCCAAGCACTCTGAGTTTGTTGGCGATGTCCATTTTGCTCTATGAGTTCATGATGACCTAACCCTAACCCTAAGTGGAATTTTCCTCCAATGGGATTTCCCCATGTATTTTACCAGGAAACATAGATAGGGCAGCCTGGAAAAGTCAGTGCCCTCCTGACCATACCCAAGCATTCTGGACTTCCAGTTTGGCACACGATGTGATTGGTGGAAGAAGACGGGGCTCTGCTTCCCAGCCTGATTTTGTTCTGTCCGGCAACCCTAAGGGGTCGGAAAGTTACCATGGAGGGGCAATGAAGAAGGAGGGATGTTTCAGGAGTCCGTACCAGATGGCATTCGGTCCAGTGGTGCACAGCGGCAGTGGATCCATTCACCATCACTTCCCCCTGACTCCAAAACATTGGAGGGGGACCGGTCTTACCTGCCGATCAAGGAATGGATTAGCGGGGGGGGATGAGTTCTGGGACCTTTTTTGTTTCAAAAAAAGTGATGATGATGATGATGATGATAATGATAATAATAATAATAATAATGATAATAATGATGATAATAATAATAATAATAATAATAATAATAATAATAATAATAATAATAATAATGTTGGAAGGAACCTTGGAGGTCATCTAGTTCAACCCCCTGCTCAGGCAGGAAACCCTACACCATTTCAGACAAGTGGCTGTCCAGTCTCTTTTTAAAAACTTCCAGTGTTGGAGTATTCACAGATTCTGGAGGCAGGTTGTTCCACTGGTTAATTGTTCTAAATGTCAGGAAATTTCTCCTTAGTTCTAGATCTCGCACCTGTGATTGTGTACAGTAGATGACATCTTTTGTGGCTTAATCCAGATGGAAATCAAGTGCTAATAATTCCCTTGTTGCTAATTATTGGCACTGCTGTTAAGCAGGGATCAGGTGTGGCTTGGTGTGAACAAACAGATGGAGTCCAGATTCTCTCTGTGTGTGTAAATGGCACATTTTGTGTCTTCTCTTAAGATCTGAAGAACCTTGAGTACAGTTTGGAGCAAGTATTTATAGATTTCTTACTTTTATTTGGTTATATAAGAGGAAGCCAGCACACAGCAATGTATAAAAGTGTGATGACTCCCTTAGATGATTCCCCAGATACCCCTCTAGATGTCAGCTCAGGGGAGGATGAACCAGCTCTTGGCATGTCAGGAGCTGAGTTAATTGATGGCTCCAAGCAGCCATCCAGAAGGGGTTTGGCTGAGGGTCCAGCTGGAGAATGCATGCAGTTGCAGATGGTCAGTGAGGAGGAGGAGGAGGAGGAGGAGGAGGAGGAGGAGGAACTGCCTTCTGCACCTGATCTGAGAACACATAGAGCAGAGAAAAAGCAGGAGCAGAGAAGGTCAGCCAGACTATTTGAGAGGAGAAAGCCTCCTCCTTCTTGATGGGTTACACTGGAAGCTGGCTCTTTAGCACAGCAGCCAAAGAGAGGCGTTGCTGGGAACAACATGTTTGTTTCCTAGCTATGTGTTTTCTGGTCATTGTGATTCCTGCCTCACTTTGGATTGACACCGGGCCTTGATTTGAATTGTGTGTTGGAAACTCTGGACTTTTCTTGACTTGTGAGCTTTCTTGTGCTATGGATTTAAGTTTGCCTGGTGAATTTATTTTGTTTGAGAAAATTTCAAAGGCTTTGTGAACTCTTTTGCCATTGCTCTGTGGACTAATGTCGGCCTGCTCATGACTGGACTTAATTGGGACAGTTCTGGCTTTTGGGGGGAAGGGAATTCCTGGGGAATATTAATAAACTCACTAAACCACAGTAACTGCAGCAATGTGAACGTACCAGTGCACGGACACCCCCTTTTGCAGCTGGTAGCACCTCTAACACTTGACCTCACTATGCAATCCTCATCTGTTTCTCTTTGTCTGTTTCCCTCTCTTTCTCTTAGCTGTTATATCAAGAGTGGGCAAGATACGGAGCGTTATACAAGTTTCAGCCTATTGACCTCATCAGGTAAAACTTCCTTGGTTAATAGATACCCGTGATCCTCTCTACCCTTGCCCCTCCCACAAAACCTATCCCCTCTTTCCCCCCTCCAGGCCACCACTCCAAAAAGGTCGGGGAACTCTGTTCTAGTTCAACCCTCTGCCCAAGGCAGGAGTCCTCGGTTACCCCAAATTTGCAAAGTACTCGTAGCAGCAATTTTCACAACAGAGCTGGGGTCTTCAGACTTGGCCCTTCGATGACTCGTGGACTTCAACTCCCAGAATTCCTTAGCCAGGCACGCTGAGGGGAAAGGGAGAGGTTTCCAAGCTGAGCAATTCTGGGAGTTGAAGTCCACAAGTCATAAAAGAGCCAAGTTTGAAGACCCTTGTGATAGATGATAGATAGATGATAGATAGATGATAGATAGCTGGATAGATAGATAGATAGATAGATAGATAGATAGATAGATAGATAGATAGATAGATGATAGAGATAAATAGATTAGAAATATAGAGAGATATAGATGAATGAGAGAGAAAGATGATAGATAGATAGATAGATAGATAGATAGATAGATAGATAGATAGATGGATGGATGGATGGATGGATGGATGGATGGATGGATGGATGGATGGATGGATGGATAGATAGATAGATAGATAGATAGATAGATAGATAGATAGATAGATAGATAGATATAATAGACCAGGGGTCTTCAATTTGGCCCTTTCATGACCTGTGGACTTCAACTCCCATAATTCCTCAGCCAGAGTACCTGGCTGAGGAATTCTGGGAGTTGAAGTCTACAAGTCATAAAAGAGTCAAGTTTGAAGACCCTTGTGATAGATGATAGATAGATGATAGATAGATAGATAGATAGATAGATAGATGATAAAATAGATTAGAGATATAGAGAGGTATAGATAGATGAGAGAGAAAGATGATAGATAGATAGATAGATAGATAGATAGATAGATAGATAGATAGATAGATAGATATAATAGACCAAGGGTCTTCAAATTTGGCCCTTTCATGACTTGTGGACTTCAATTCCCATAATTCCTCAGCCAGAGTACCTAGCTGAGGAATTCTGGGAGTTGAAGTCTACAAGTCATAAAAGGGCCAAGTCTGAAGACCTCTGGACTAGAGAAACAATTCCTACAAAGTCCTAGATTCATAGGTTGATGTCCCACATTGCCGACGTTCTGGATAAGAATTCTGTTTTCACTTGCCAGATTTCAAGAACTATTGACTTAATGTCATGTCCCCTTCTTTCAAAAATGGAAACTAGGCTGTTGCAATGCAAAGGACTTACCTCACTCATTGTTGGTTTTTTTTTTTTTTTTAAGCCATAGGAGCACGATCATCGTCATGTTTTTTCCCCCTTGTGCAAAAAAAAAAAAAAAAAGCAACTGATTATTACAGAAGTGTTAAGAAAGCATCAAATAATGTCTACCCTTTGTCAATGACTGGTTGAATTATCTTGGTTCTCCAGGAGAGGGAAGAATATTTCCTAGCATCAGAAAAAAGGAGCCTAAATTTACCACTAAACCAGTGGTTCTCAACCTTTTTAATGCCGCGACCCCCAACCGGTCATAAGTCGAGAACTACTCAACCGGTCGTAAGTCGAGGACTACTCAACTGGTGCAGCACCGTTTGCAGAATGGGACTTTTGGCGGGCTCAGCAGGGCAGAGACAGCCTGGACAATTCCTATTGGCTTTTGAAAGCCAATAGAATTAGACTCTATTCAAGAGAGTCTATTCTATTGGCTTTCAAAAGCCAATAGAATAAAAGGGAGTAGCACAGCTAAGGAAAAGGGGGGGAAAATTGCGGACTGCGTTGTTTGGCGACCCCCGTGAAATGGTCGTTCGACCCCAAATGGGGTCCCGACCCACAGGTCGAGAACCACTGCACTAAACCAATTGGAGGAAGGGTCTTTATGTCTCTCATTTCCTAAGTCAAACTGTGGTCATCATCCCGTTCTAGATATATTAGATTGTGTCTGATCAGTTTAGAATCGTAACCTTTGCTGAAAAAGAAAGATTTAAACAGTGTCTCTCTCTCTCTACCGACTATTTTTCAGGCTGCTTTGAATCAGACATACCATCATAAATTGTAGGGCTGAGTCTATATTCTTGCATGTTTGCCTCTCTGCTGATCCACAGCCTGATAAATGAATTGCACCATTCCAGAAAAATATAGATTTTTTTTTTGTATGGGAGAGAAAAGATGAGGCTTAGAATTAACTGGTAAAAGGATTAAGGCAGGTTTTCCTGTGTATTAATCCTGGGTGGCTGTTGAGCTGGCTGACCTTGTCTGGATATTAAAACTAATCAGGGTCTGGCCTCATTAATTCTTGGATACATGATTCCAGGGGGAAAAATAGGAATATAGAATAGAATAGAATATAGAATAGAATAGAATAGAACAGAATATAGAATATAGAATATAGAATAGAATAGGAATTAGAATAGGAATATAGAATAGGAATAGGAATATAAAATAGGAATAGGAATATAGAATAGGAATAAGAAAATAGAATAGAATAGAATAGAATAGAATAGAATAGAATAGAATAGAATAGAATAGAATAGAATAGAATAATAGTCTTTATTGAGAATAGAATAGAATAGAATAGAATAGAATAGAATAGAATAGAATAGAATAATAGTCTTTATTGAGAATAGAATAGAATAGAATAGAATAGAATAGAATTTCCGAATGCAAGCCATTCCACTAATTCATTATTTTCCATTACAGTATAAAATCTCCAGCGAAACCTAGGGCAACCGTGCTCTCTTAGAAACCCCTCCCCATTTTTAAGGAAGACAAATTGTAGAGGCACACCTCACCTCTTTACCTGCGTGTGACGTTTCCTTTCTTTAGAAAGTATTTTGGAGAAAAAATCGGGATGTATTTCGCCTGGCTGGGCTTATATACAAAATTCCTCATTCCCTCCTCCGTTGTCGGGGTTATCGTGTTTCTGTACGGGTGCCTGACCATTGAAGAAGATCTTCCAAGGTGAGGTGCTAAATAGACTTTGTCCCCCAAATACGGCAAGGTTCGGCTCTTGGTTTGGTGTTTTGGCCGTTTGCTAAAATGCACCAAGTTTGCCCAATGTTTTTCAGCCCAAGAAGGAAGACCTATTAAGAGCATGAACATTATTTTCTCTTCTGGTCCCCGATAGACTCAGTTATTTCCTCTCTTCCTTCACTTTACGAAGGATACAGGAGTCCTTGACATAAAATCACTTATTTAGCAATTCATCAGAAGTTATCAAAATAAGGGCAACTGGTCCTTGCATATGAGCATCGCCCAAGATCGTGTGATCTTGGCCACGGGCGTCTATTTACAACAGTTGCAGCATCCTTGGGGTGTAGGACTGCCCTTTGCAATCTTCCCAGCCAAAGTCATGGGGGTGGGGGGAAAGTCAGATTCATTTAGGGACCCTATGATTCACTTAACGGCTGAAGCGATCTGCTTAACAACTGTGGCAGAAAAGATGTTGATGAAATAGGATGTGACTCCCTTAACCACCATCTGGCTTAGCCGTGGAGATTCTGGGGCCTGTCGTAAGTCGAGGACTCGTCTGCTTGTTGGGTTTACTTAAAAAAAAAAGACCTAAATCTTTCATTTGAAGGAATATTAAGGTGTGAACCCTTACTTGTCTTATGTACTACGTGGCCATCTCTGTACATTAGTTGCCATTTTTAACTATGCCTCTGGTGTGTTTAGTGCTCCATATTTCATTTTAAATGGCTTTTCTTTCCTTTTAATGGTGTATTGGTTCTTCGTCCCAAAAGTGTTTTTCCAAGAGGCAATTGGACTTTCTTGTTTTTTTCTTCTTTGAAGACATTTCACTCCTCCGGCAAGAAGCTTCTTCGGATCTGACTGGATAGTGGGGAATGGAAGGATTTATACTTCTTGCAGACAGCTGGTCATTTACATAGGAGAGCAAACCCATCAAGACAAGATCCAGCAGTCCACCTGCATTTAAAAGACAAAGGCCGCTCTTGAAGACAGAAAAAGTCCACATTTTGGACAGAGAGGACCGCTGGTTTGAAAGAGGGGTCAAAGAGGCCATCTAGTGAAAACTGAACAGCCCTCTCTCAACAGAGGGGGAAGGATACGACACCATCTATCTCTAGTCTACAACACTGTCCTTTCAGCAGTCCCAAGAAGGCTCCACACCCATTTGCACCACTCAGGTGACCTTCAGGACACAGGAAAACCTCCAAGTGGCCTCAATGACTCTCTACAAGAATATAAATCCTTCCATTCCCACACCATCCAGTCAGAGCTGAAGAAGCTTCTGGGATGAGAAGCGAAACGTCTTCAAAAGAAAAACAAGAAAGTCCAGTTACTTTGGGATGAAGAAGCAATAAACCATTTAAAGAAAAGAAAAGCCAGTGTGAAAAAAAAGGGTCACAAGTTCCTTACTTCGGTTCCTGTGTAACTTTGAATGCTCACTAAATGAAGCATGGCTCGGATTCAGCTGGTTCCCACCACTTCAGCAGAACCGGTAGCTATTTTTTTTGTTGGCCAGGCCCAGAATGGTCTTCTGGAAGCGGCATCCATGCAGAGAACCGGTTGTTCACCTATTTGAATCCCACCACTGGATAGATAGATAGATAGATAGATAGATAGATAGATAGATAGATAGAAGATAGATAGATAGATAGATAGATAGATAGATAGATAGATAGATAGATAATAGATAGATAATAGATAGAATAGATAGATAATAGATAGATAGAGAGATAGATAGATAGATAGATAGATGATAGATAGATGATAGATAGATAGATAGATAGATAGATAGATAGATAGATAGATAGATAGATAGATAGATAGATAGATAGATAGATAGGACGGACAATAGATACAGTGGTGGGATTCAGTCAGTTTGTACCACTTCGGCAGAACCAGTAGCTAATTTTTTGTTGCCCAGGCCCACAACGGACTTCTGGAAGCAGCATCCACACAGAGAACCAGTTGTTCACATATTTGAATCTGATCACTGTAGATAGATGATAGATAGATAGATAGATAGATAGATAGATAGATAGATAGATAGATAGATAGATAGATAGATATAGTGGTGGGATTCAGCCGCTTCACATCACTTCAGCAGAACTGGTAGCTAATTTTTTGTTGCCCAGGCCCAGAACGGACTTCCGGAAGCAGCAGCCACGCTGAGAACAGGTTGTTCATCTATTTGAATCCCACCCACTGGTTCTAAGTCAAGGACAGCCTATCCTACTGGCAGCAAATAGCTGAAAAACTTTCCCTGCACGAAGCTGCTGTCTGACCTTTTGGCCTCTGCTCTTCCTAGCAAGGAGATGTGCGACCAACGCAATGCCTTCACCATGTGCCCTTTGTGCGACAAGACGTGTGACTACTGGAACCTCAGCACGGCTTGTGGGACCGCACGTGCCAGCCACTTGTTTGATAATCCGGCCACCGTCTTCTTCTCCGTTTTCATGGCCCTCTGGGGTAAGTTTGCTTCAAAGGAGTCAAAACCAAAACAGGAGACAAATGAACTTGCGAACAACAGCATAGGAACACAAAGGGGCCTTTCCAAAAGACAAGCAGACTTTCTTGGTTGGTTGGTTTGGTTGGTTGGTTTTTTTGTTTCTCATCCAAGCTCTGAAGAACTGAACTGAAGATGCTTATTGAATGAGAAGTGAAACATTTTTCAAGGAAACACACACACACACACACACACACAAGAAAGTCCAGTTGCCTTTTTTTAAAAAGCACCTTTTGGGACAACCGTCACTCAGAGGGTTGAGAATCTCCATAGACAAACAGCAAGGAAAAAGTTTTTTTTTTTAAAAAAAAAAAACCTCAAGCAAGGCCTCCTTTTCAATTCCAAGCATCTGTCAGCTTGCCTGTGATGTATGAATGGGGGAGACATCAAAAAGAAAGGTCTTTTATAGTTGTGGGTCTTCCTAGCACAGACTCATATCTTTCATTTCTCTTAATGGCAGCAGCCTAAACAAGCAATGCAGGTAGCCTTCAATTTTGAGCCCAAAATTTCCACTTAGAAGCAAGATAGATTTTAAGTGAGTTTTAGATAGAGAGAGAGAGAGAAAGAGAGTTTGATAGATAGATAAATTGATAGATTGATAGATAGATAGATAGATAGATAGATAGATAGATAGATAGATAGATCGGTAGATAGGTAGATAGGTAGACAGACAGACAGACAGATAGATAGGATGATGGATAGATGATGGATGGTGGGAGGGAGGGAGGGAAAGAGATTGATAAATAGATGATGGATGGGTGATGGATGGAGATAGATAGATAGATGAAAGATAGAGAGACAGTTTGATAGGTAGATAGGTAGGTAGGTAGATAGATAGATAGATAGATAGATAGATAGATAGATAGATAGATAGATAGATAGATAGACAGACAGACAGACAGACAGACAGACAGACAGACAGACAGACAGACAGACAGACAGGTAGATAGATAGGATGATGGATAAATGATGGATGGTGGGAGGGAGGGAGGGAGGGAGGGAGGGAGAGATTGACAAATAGATGACAGATGGATGGATGATGGATGGAGAGAGAGAGAGAGAGAGAGAGTTTGATAGGTAGATAGATGAGAGATAGATAGATATAGATAGATAGATTTATAGATATTGTTTTATCCTAGAAAATAACAAGCAAAATTGAAAAAAAAAAAACCAAGAGCCTACATTTGAAAGAAAGACTGACAAGAAAAGTCAGTGGGGGAAGCCAAATTCGCTTAGCAACCGCGCCACTAACTGAACAACTGCAAGGGTTCCCTTAACAAGCATTCCCCCCCTCCCTCACACGTGTGCCTTATTAGAATGAGTCATTCCGTGAAACTGATTGACAGCTCACGGAGGAGAGGCCAAAAAGGAAGAGCTGGGTTGCAAACGACAGGATGAGCATGAGGAAGTCATTACCACGCAGTCTGCTTTATGGGCAGCAGCTCCGAGGACTTTAAAAATAGCCCGTGGAAAGGCCCGGGGGGGCCATACCCTGCAGCCTAGCACAACGTCTGCTCTTGACTGATAGTGGTCCTATTGTGAGGTTCTGGACACGCGCCTGAGCTTAACGTGTTCCCATCCCACGAGAGCAGGGATCTTCCTTGGGGCAGCAGCCCCTGCCCCACAGGGTCCGAAGTCCCGCAGAGAAGCATCCAGATTAAGGTCCTTGAGAGATAGGTATTTCGGGTGGAATGTGGCAATAAATTCAGTTTAAGGAATGTTTTTTTTCAATTTATAAGAGGAAGGGAGGGGGGAGGGAGGGAGGGAGGAAGGAAGGAAGGAAGGAAGGAAGGAAGGAAAGAAGGAAGGAAGGAAGGAAAGAAGGAAGGAGAGGGAAGGAATCTGAGAATGTGAAGGAAAGGGAAGGAAAGGAAAGGAAATGGAGAGGGAGGGAAGGAAGGAAGGAATTTGAGAAGGTGAAGGAAGGGAAAGAGGAAGGAAGGAAGGAAGGAAGGAAGGAAGGAAGGAAGGAAGGAAGGAAGGAAGGGAAAGGAAATGGGGAGGGAGGGAGGGAAGGAATTTGAGAAGGTGAAGGAATGGAAAGAGGAAGGAAGGAAGGAAGGAAGGGAAAGGAAATGGGGAGGGAGGGAAGGAAGGGAAGGAATTTGAGAAGGTGAAGGAATGGAAAGAGGAAGGAAGGAAGGAAGAAAAGGAAGGAAGGAAGGAAGGAAGGGAAGGAAGGAAGGAAGGAGGGAGGGAGGGAGGGAGGGAGGGAGGGAGGAAATCTGAGAATGTGAAGGAAGGGAAAGAAGAGGAAATGGAGAGGGAGGGAGGGAGGGAGGGAGGAGGGAGGGAAGGAAGGAAGGAAGGAAGAAAGAAAGAAAGAAAGAAAGAAAGAAAGAAAGAAAGAAAGAAAGAAAGAAAGAAAGAAAGAAAGAAAGAAGCGCTGTAGAAATACAGTCCTGGTAGAAATAATCCATTTCAGAAATGTTCACAGGATTCTTAACTGCAGATTTAGCCGAATTCCATTCTGGGCCTGGGCAACAAAAAATTAGCTACCGGTTCTGCCGAAGTGGCGTGAACTGGCTGAATCCCCCCACTGGTGATAATGTAGCCATTAGGAGTAGAACTTGGCTTAACAGAATCTTGTTGGTAAGAAACACAATCTTACTTGGGTATTTTAAAGACAGAGCTCTCCTATGTTGAACAAAACTGGGTTTCTTTCATTTCAGCCACGATGTTTCTTGAAAACTGGAAGCGTTTGCAGATGCGGTTGTGTTACTTCTGGGACCTCACCGGCTTGGAGGAGGAAGAAGTAAGTGCACTGGAAAGCGTTCAAACCTGTTGGGGTTTTATCAGTTCAATTCTTCAAATTGATCCGATGATTTCATCCCCCAAACCAAATATAAGTAATTCAGCTCTTGGAACTGAACTGCAAAGGCAAATACAATTAGACCCTTAGCTTGCAAATTCAAATCCGATTTTGGCTGATCCCTGTATCCTAGACCTTGAATTGACAAGCTATTCAATTAGAATGACCAACAATATTGAACACTTGAATGACATAAAACTCGCATACGCTTAAAACAAAAACAAAAACAAAACTCAAAGACTGCGTACTTAGAAGCTAGAATGATTTATCTAAAATGAAAACCAGAAAATCATAATAAGAATGGAAGACCAACAAAGATGATTAGGGGACTGGAGGATAAAACATATGAAGAATGGTTGCAGGAATTGGATAGGTCTAGTCTAATGAAGTGAAGGACCAGGGGTGTCATGATAGCAGTCTTCCAATATTTGAGGGGCTCCTACAAAGATGAAAGAGTCAAGCTATTCTCCAAATCCCCTGAAGGCAGGACAAGAAGCAACGGGTGGAAACTAACCAAGGAGAGAAGCAACCTAGAACTAAGGAGAAACTTCCTGGCGGTGAGGACAATTAATCAGTGAAACAACCTCAGTGGAACAAGTTGCCTCCAGAAGCCATGGACCCTCCATCACTGGAGATTTTCAAGAGGAGACTGGAGAACCATTTGTCCAGAATGACATAGGGTCTCCTGCTGGAGTAAGGGGTTGGATTCTTCCAACTCTGTTAATCTGTCATTCCTGGTAGATTACTTGCAGGATATTAACTATATATTTCAATGATTGTGCTTCAGGTTTTTCCAGAATCCATTATTGGTATTGTTGAAAGAAAAATCAGGTCCAGTTCCAAGCCAGGAGTAAGACACTATAAATAAAATGGAGGCTAAGATGCTGGAAATAAAATGGAGGCCGCTTAGGGAAGAAGATTTATTGACGAGTAGAACCAGCAACAGCATGCAGTTCTGGTACACCAAATGGAGCTAAGAGTGGCTGGGGTTTTATACCTTCTGATTGAGATGTTCCATGGGGCTGTGCAATGTAGCCAGCCTTGTGTCAATGGTGGTGGGTTAATCGGATTATGTCCTACAGGTCATGTCCTGTCCTTAGCATTTGGGTGGGGGAATGTAAATTCTTAATCCCATCAGCTATGGGGGTTGAAGGTGTTTTGCTTATGAATAGATCAGCCCAGTTTTCTGAATATCAATTCAAAATCTCCTAACGACTAGCCTTTTTGCTTAAGGCTTTTTTCCCCTATAGCAGGAAGACTGGGGCTGCTTTCTGCCTTTGTTAAGATTTTTTCTCCATTTCTTCTTTAGGGAAAATATTCTGCCCTGCCTCTTTTTAATATCCCCCAAAATATTTCATTCTCGGGGGTGGGGTGCTGACTTCCTACAGTATCCTTAGTCTATATCAGTGGTGGCGAACCTATGGCACAGGTGCCAGAGGCGGCACTCAGAGCCCTCTCTGTGGGTACGCACAGCATCACCCCAGTCCTAGGCCTTCAGCTGGGTTTTATAAAACCTTTTCGCTTTAGGCCTCTGCCACCATGTGAAAAAAAAAGGTTCAATCAATCAGTCAATTTCAACTTCTCACAGAGAAAAAAAAGATCTTGCAAAGTTGGAATTGATTGATTGAACTTTTTAGTCCCATCCAGTCTGCCGTTACCACATAGCCACGCCCAGGCAATGGGCCACACCCACCCGGCACCCGACGATGCATAAGTGGTTTGGGGTTGCAGTTTGGGCACTCGGTCTCTAAAAGGTTCACCATTACTGGTCTATATTTTAAAGCATTTACTTGCAGTGTGTTCTCTGCTACTCAGTACACCAAGCAGCATCTAAATAGTTGGCTTCTTGTTCCATCTGAACCATCACAACTTTTACGTCGCAAGCATCTCTTACCAGTATTTCTGCTCACGTTCAAATGTGCAGGAGCCAAGATCTCCGTAATATCTGGATGTTTTTTGTGTGGCTTGCTGTTCAGATGTTAAATTCACTCCACATTTTTTTTAAAATTTGATTTAGGAACACCCCAGGCCAGAATACGAAACCAGATTATTACAGAAGAAAGACAGAACTGAAAATACCAAAATCGTGAGTCAGGATGAGGTAGGACACCGAAGTTTCTGTGATCCTTTTAATTCCTGTTTTAGGTTTTTATGAGGGCTGCACGCTGTAATAAATATTGTGTAGTAGGCGTATCTAACATCTATTCGACTCGCTTTTTACTAATAGGTTTTAATCAAATAAATGTGAACGGGTGAAGAGTTAAAAGAACGATTGTCTTTGGGGCTATTGCAATTCCGAAGTTCTGGTAACTGTGACATTTCTAATTTATATATTCCTTCCCTTTTAAAAGAAAAAAAAACCATTGAATTTTCAACATGATGGATATTCACATACATTTTAAGTTAATTGACTGATCGATACCCAAGGGAAGTGGTTGATCAGTTAAAGCAGAAATTCTATATAAACTGTCATAGGATTGGAGTGAGCGATCTTTGAGAATTTAGTCTGGTTCACAGTTTTGACTGCCCTAATTCATATTTCTCGTCCTCAACGATTATTCTCCATACTTTATGATACATTTATAGGCAGCCCTCCACTTACGACTACCACGGAGCCCAAAATTTTGGTTGCTAAGCCAGAAAAGTGTTAAGTGAGTTTTGCAGCAAGATCAGTGGTGGGATTCAGCTGGTTCGCATCGGTTTGGTAGAACTGGTAGCTAAATTTTGCTGAATTTAGAGAACTGACTGAATGCACACTGCTTCTGGAACTCCATTCCAGGCCTCAAAGGCCTGGAGGAGGCCTTCCAGGCCTAGAACGGTCTGCCGGAAATGCGTGGATGCCACTTCCAGAAGCCCATTCTAGGCCTCAGAGGCCCAGGCCTGCAACCAATAAGAGAACCAGTTGTTCAGGTATTTGAATCCCACCACTCAGCAGGATGGACAATGATGGGTGGATCTCATTGTGCTCTTTTAGGACACAATGATCTACTTGAGTTACCGGTAGGTTTTGAGTAGGGGACACGATGGCTCAGTGGTTAAAAGACGCTGAGCTTGTTAGCTGGAAAGCTGACAGCCCGTGTTCAAGACCTGAGCGCTGCATGATGGGGTGAGCTCCTGTTCCTCGCTCCAGCTCCTGCCCACCTGGCAGTTTGAAAGCCTGCAATTGCGAGTAGATAAATAGGTACCACTTCGGTGGGAAGGTAACGGCGTACTGTGCTTCTTGGTATATAGTAATGCTGGCCACATGACTATGGAAGCATCTTCAGACAATGCCGGTTCCCTTGGCTAAGAAGTGGAGATGAGCACTTCCCACCAGGCTCAACTGGAACCGGGAAAACTTTACCTTTATCTAGATCAGCGGTTCTCAACCTGTGGGTCGGGACCCCATTTAGGGTCGAACGACATTTCACGGGGGTCGCCAAACAATGCCGTCCGCCATTTTTTTCCCCTTTTCCTTAGCTGTGCTCCTCCCTTTTATTCTATTGGCTTTTGAAAGCCAATAGAATAGACTCTCTTGAATAGAGTCTAATTCTATTGGCTTTCAAAAGCTAATAGGAATTGTCCAGGCTGTCTCTGCCCTGCTAAGCCCGCCAAAAGTCCCATTCTGCAAATGGTGCTGCATCAGTTGAGTAGTCCTCGACTTACGACCGGTTAAGTAGTCCTCGACTTACGACCAGTTGGGAGTCGCGGCATTAAAAAGGTTGAGAACCACTGATCTAGATCCTGAGTGCTGTTACTGACTATAACGCCCTTCATGGATAGGGCCTTATTATCTAAGGGACAATCTGTCTTTTGTAATTTCAGCCCACACTATACTATTGGGCAGTCAAGAGTGAAAATTTGGCAGCTACGTGCCTCTCTGTTTTCATCTTTCCATTAGAATAAATGGGGGGGAAGTGTTTTTTTGAATGGGTTAGTTAGAGAAATGAAACCTCTCCAGTTCTACGGAAGCTTGCTGAAAGTCGGCCGTAGGGAAAGCTTTCAAGGACGTTCTACCAGGTGTGAAGACGATAGCGGATGGTTCCGGTCCCAAAGAGAACACGTTTACATGAACTACGTGGACATCTGGGGATTTTGGCTGAGAAAGTCATAGTTATATGCTAAGGTCTGATGCCTTGGGATTTTAGAGTTTTAGAGTTAGTTTTGCCTCGCCTTTACCGGACCATGGATTCAATAATCGGTAAGCTTTTCAGAAAATAAAAAATAACGGACTTTTATTCGGAGACTTGAGCTGGAAGTTGACACGGGCAGAGGTGACCTACATCAAATCCCTTCCATTCTAGGGACTATGTGCACTCTCTGTTTTAACTCCTGTCCTCTGGGTCAACTTACCCCTAACATCCCTATGGCCTTGATTCTGACCATGTTTAAAAGACCCATGAAAACTTGGCTCTTCTCCCAGTCCTCAGGTCAGACTTGGGTGAATATCTTAGCCCTGGGGAACTAAAAAGCCTGGGAAAAAGAATCAGAATACCGGGGCCTTGACCCCATTCTCAGTGAAGGTTTGGGACAGGATTCTGTTAATAGACCTTACATAATTGACTAGCATTTCTGGAATTCCTGCGGTGTCTATTTCTTGACTGGGCCTTTTTGGAAAGCTGATGCCACTATCCTTCTTTCAAGCAAATTTTAAGATCCTGAGGGGGGGGGTTTAAACTATATTTCAAAGACACCCAAAGACAAGAGGAGAAACAATGGATGACCACTAACCAAGGAGAGAAGCAACCTGGAACTAAGTAGAAATGTCCTAATGGTGAGAGCAATCAATCAGTGGAAGAGCTTGCCTTCAGAATTTGTGGGTGCTCCATCACTGGAGGTTTTTAAAAAGAGACTGGACAACCATTTGTCTGAAATGGTTTAGGGTCTCCTGCTTGAGTAGGGGGTTGGACTAGAAGACCTCCAAGGTCCCTTCCATGTCTATTATCCTATGTTCTAACTCAGCTGGAACAGAACAGCAGCCACTCTGAACCTCGAAGGCCCATAAATTCCATCCTAAGCAAAACAAAATGAGAGAAATTTGGAGACAGCCGTGCATCTGATCAGCATCAGTAGAAGCTTCGAGTTCCACCACAACTAACAAACTATCTCGGTTTAGGAAACGCTCACCGTGTCCCCCAGTCTTTCGTGAAGTTCACTTGGTAAAATGTCACAGTTTGGAAGGTATGAATTAAACTAGCGGAAGAAGTTTGACAGAGGTCAAACCGGTTTCAGAGAAAATCAAGGAGGGTGTACCAAATCTGTGGCATAACGAGTTACAAATATAACGCAGTGGAGGAACGGAGGGCCATACTAAGGAAGAACTGGGATTGATTCCCCAGGAAGGAGTTTTCACCATAAAAGGCAAGGAAAGTACAGCAGATCAAAAACTTATAGAGCGTTACATTATCTTTGCTAGTGCTCAGACTGCCACGGTGCGTTAAAAATATACAGATTGCAATATGGCTGTGATGCATCTTTGGCAGATGTTCTCAGGAAGTAGATTAGTCTACTTTCTCTAGAAGATTTTTCTCTTTTTGAGAAACATATTTCTTTATTTAACCAAGTGACATAGCTGCCCATCAACCCAAGAAACGTCCAACTCAGATGTCTGTTGGTATCTATCTATCTATCTATCTATCTATCTATCTATCTATCTATCTATCTATCTATCTATCTTGTCTATACTCTAACATCTCTATGAATCTATGTGTGTCTGTCTATCTATCTATCTATGCTATTGCTATATCAACTATCATCTATCTATCTATCTATCTATCTATCTATCTATGCTATTGCTATATCAACTATCATCTATCTATCTATCTATCTATCTATCTATCTATCTATGCTATTGCTATATCAACTATCATCTATCTATCTATCTATCTATCTATCTATCTATCTATGCTATTGCTATATGAACTATCATGTATCTATCTATCTATCTATCTATCTATCTATCTATCTATCTATCTATCTATCTATCTATCTATCTATCTATCCATCTATGCCAGTGGTTCTCAACCTGTGGGTCGGGACCCCATTTGGGGTCGAACGACTATTTCACGGGGGTCGCCAAACAACGCAGTCCGCCATTCCCCCCCCCTTTTCCTTAGCTGTGCTACTCCCTTTTATTCTATTGGCTTTTGAAAGCCAATAGAATAGACTCTCTTGAATAGACTCTAATCCTATTGGCTTTCAAAAGCCAATAGGAATTGTCCAGGCTGTCTCTGCCCTGCTGAGCCCACCAAAAGTCCCATTCTGCAAACGGTGCTGCACCAGTTGAGTAGTCCTTGACTTACGACCAGTTGAGTAGTCCTTGACTTATGACCGGTTGGGGGTCGCGGCATTAAAAAGGTTGAGAACCACTGATCTATGCTATTGCTATATCAACTATCATCTATCTATCTTCTATCTATCTACCTATCTATCTATCTATCTATCTATCTATCTATCTATCTATCTATCGTATTACTATATCAACTATCAACTATCTATCTTCTATCTATCTATCTATCTATCTATCTATCTATCTATCTATCTATGCTATTGCTATATCAACTATCATCTATATATCTATCTATCTAACTACTTACCTACTTACCTACCTACCAACCTATCATCTATCTATTATCTATCTATCTATCATCCATCCATCCATCCATCTGTCTGTCTGTCTATCTATCTGGATATGCACACATAAATACCCACTACATTATTTAAACAAATTGATAGGATTCTGAGCAGGTTTTTAGGAGCTGAATGGGGCCCTAAGTTTTCTCTTTTCAAACTCTGATTTCATATGAAAAAGGGTTGTTTTTTTTCACTTCCCACCTTTATTGTTAGCCTGATTGGGGAACTTAAATGATTCTACCTAAGACAAAAAAGAAAAAAAATGTGGTTGTAATTGGATAGATATGATATGTCCTTTGCCATTTTAGTTAGTTGCTACTCCAAACCTAGTTATATTTCTTTTGCATTTAAGGCAGAAAGATATATTTCAATCTTGCTGGAGGCTGAAATTTCATTCCCTAACAGAAATTGATATTCTGGGATAACCACAATTTGAGATTTGCAGGTTGTGGTTTTTTTGGGGGGGAGTCTTGAACTGCGGGGTGAAAT